ACGCTCCTTTATAGCCACTATGTCAGCATGCCAAACACTAGGCCGGGATTTGGGTTGAAAACTGACTAAATTGCCAGCCCTTAAGTTAAAATCTAACACCCCATGATCACTGTTTGCTAGAGGTGGATGAATAACTAGACCATCCACGTCGTCGTTGTCATGAGTAAGCACTAAGTCCAGCAAGGAAGATCCTTGGGTAGAACCGAATCTTGTACTACCTAAGACATGTTGTGTCAGGGCATTTTCCATGGTTGTCAAGAGTAACCGGCTGTCAAACTTATCAGCGGATCCTGGAGATGTGACAGCTACCCAGTCTATATGAGGTGCATTAAAATCACCTAGAATAAGACAGCTACTGTGTTTACTCCATTGTTTGAGGTGATCTAAAATGAAGTCATCACACTGACAATAGGGACTTCTATACAGAACTCCAATGAGTAGAGTGCCGGTTGCAAAGCTTACTTCACAGCTAATTACCTCACCTGTCCCACTGTCATGAGCTTCAGATTTCACGGAACGAACATGTAGGGAGTTGTTGATGTACAGAGCAACCCCGCCACCTCTACGACCCTTAACTCTGTCGCTGCGCAAGCAACTAAATCCGCATAGCTCAGGTGTGTCATCTAATCCCGAAACCAGCCATGTTTCAGTAATGGCCACAATACCTGGGCTAAGGTCTTCTACTAATACACCTAGCTCGTGAAATTTGTTCCCGATACTACGTATATTAGTGTACACTACCTTCAGGCTTCCTATGCGGTCTGGCTTATCCACACAGGTCTTGGAAGCATACGTTTCCAAGACCTGACTATTTGAAAACCCACCAGTTTAAGGTTAGTCTCACCATTTTTGCGTCTTGTTTCTAGCTGGGACAAAACTTCTTTTCGTTTAAGTCTGTCTTCAAGAGATAAATCAGGTCTGGCTGAAATTCCTGACCCGGCAAGGTTGTGTACATTAGCCAGTAGATGATTCCGTTCATCAGGAGAACCTAAGACTACTTTAAGCAACCTACGCTGACTAGAACATTCATCATCTCTTTTGCCTATTCTAATCAGCTTTTTAATCGATACTCCAGGGAAATTCGCTGGGAGCATCTTCCTTATAATACTACTCACTAATTTAAGGTCGTGATCGTGCCTTTTCACGGGATCAGATTCTTTGGACTCTTCCAAATTTCCAACAATTATGTTAGAGTCTAAGGAGAGCTTGTCGTATTTAGCAGTGGCTACGTCCTTTCTCACCACTATTGATGCAGCCTGGCTACAGGTGACAGACGTTTGCCTACCATCAATATTACTATATTTCTTCGACTGCTTATTTTTGTTACCCATTTATCATCTGCCTGCAGTTGCTTCTCAGGGCTGCTGCAGTTTTTGATGGTACAATCAAGATCAGTGTCTGCGCCACCTTCATGGTGAACTTCGCTTACGGTGTTCTCTGGTTCTGAGATGCTGTTTACAGCTTCCGTTTTGTTACCTTTTCGCTTACTAAGACGCTTCGAACGCCTAGTAGGTTTTACTTCCGGGGTAACTGGGATAGTAACCGCCGGTGTGATAACATTCATGATGGCACTTACTGCTTCATCTTCAGACGGGCAGTCCGTGTCACTCTTACTAGCCACGCTATCATCAGGAAGTTCCATGGCTTTAGACAGCAGTTCGTGAGCCTCCCTTATTAAGGTCATCTTTGGGGAGCAACACATTCTGCACATCCAGTGGGATGTTGGAGCAGTACAGCGTTTGTATGCAGCTGGACGTAATCCAGTACACATCTTATGATACCATTTTTCACAGTTATTACACTGTATTCCATCATCTACCAAAAAGTAACACTCCGCCCTATTACATTTATGTGGTACTTTTGACATAATGAACTTCTACTGGAAACAGCCAAGACAATTTACCCAATATAGACTATATAAGTGGTTAAAATCAAAACTTAACAGACAAAAGTCAAGTTAAAGTTTTTTTTAAATGTTCTTGAAGTGAATAACACAACAAAACAGCGATTTGTCAAAAACGTGAAATACGTGAAAAAAGCACTCCCTTTCAAACAGCGCGCGAGAATATGTCGAATTACTTGAAGACACATGTTATAACGACCATTTCGTGAATTTTTTTGCATTTTAATGGATTACACATGGACATGATGAGGTGGGATAGCTCGTTTTGGTAATTATTTCATTTACTTTGTTGTGTACTTTTCCTAATGCTGACAAGGCTCCTCCACATGTATTTCTTTAAGGAAAAATCTGCAGAAATACTTAGAAATTATATACGCATAGTATTTCCTTATTTTATGGCATAAACTTGACGTTTGCAGGCAGATGCAATATCGATTTTGAATTATTGAAAAATGTTTACTGACGTAATTATATACAATTCAACTAATTATTTCGTCATTTCAAACATATTTCATGGTTAATTATTGTGTTTACACTGATAACAATGTCTACATCTGTATAATTCTTATGTTCTTTTTCAGATAATATCTACTTTCGGGAATTTCATGGATTTGGGTGATAAAAAAAAGATACCTGCACTGTTGTCGATTTTGTATTACATGTTAATTCATTAATAAATGTATTCCTTGTTATTCGTTTGTTTATTCTACTTGATAAGACCGAATATTAGCCCTTGCGTAATTTGTGAGGTATAGAGTTTATGAGGCTATCTTTGAAATACTAAGTAGGAGCAGATATTCAGAGAAGCCTATTGGTAAAACATTATGTTGTAGTCAAATAAAGTAAATATGCCTAAATCGTAGAGGAGGTATTGCGATTATAAAGCGTTTCGAGTTATCTATCGTCTTAGCAGAATACATATACTGATTCGCGATTCATAGTCACAAAGTGAGAGTAAATCTACCTGAGATAGTTTGCTTGTGATTTCTGCATGTCGCAGTGTACCATAAGGAGAGACTATACCTATGCTGTTAGATGTATAACTCAGTGCAACTACGGTTATCGTAATAATTAAAAACAGAATGCCTAGGGTTCTCAGCCAAAGAACACGATACGTTGCTATCTGCTCATATAATCACGTAAACAAAAGTCTTCCAGACGCCGCATTTACTCCTAACAGTTTACCCTCAACTTCTAACTTAGCACGTGCTACTTATGTTACTGGAACACAATCGCATTACAACAGAAGGAAGACAGATTCATTGAAAAATTGTTTATTAAAAAAAATCAGATTTCAAATGTACAGATAATTCAGATGAGTAGTCCTCTGTTACCGTCAGTAAGTTCCATCTGCGTACACGGCACATATATGTTTTTCCATAAGTCTGAAAAGGTTTAAGAAAAGCATAATTAACTTGGGTATTACATGTATGATCTGAATAAAAAAATTTTCCTGATAAGCATTTACAAGTAATCACTTTACAAACAATATATATATATATAAGTAGCCCAATAGTTTTCACTAAACTTAAGGGACTTCGCAACTTATCGTTTGTCGATATCTAGTAGGTCCATCGAAGCATCATGAAATGATAAAATTATTTAACGACAAGTTATGCAGTAGTTTTCAAAGCTTGTACAAATATTTTAGCAAAAATGACAACCACTTTATGACAAATAATAGGTCTTGACAGCAATAATAATAACATTCATGATCATAGTGACTATAAAAACAATAATAGGTATTATTATCGCAACGAATTCATCATTAACTTAGATAGACAACTAATAATAATACAATCATATCAAATAAATGTATCACTTAATCTTAAGAAGCATGTGTTTACTTACTTTCACTGTATTCTCTCAATACTGATGTGCTCAACAAGCTTATTCCAACTGAATTTAAGATTAATTCTGAAAGTGAGTGGAGATCCAGCTTATGTCAAATAAAAACATGTAACTTACATGTATTACACTGCTTACTGAGACATCTGGTACCTGCTTTCCGATCTTCGTGACAAGAACACAGTTCATCTAGGTTTACCTACATATACAAAAGTATACGTATATGCTGCATCAACCATGCCGTTTTTATCATGATTAGCCAGACCACTGTGTATATTATACTTATTTAAGGATCTCTGAAAATAATGGTCAAGCGATAATTGAAGTTGCGTGAAGTTATTACCTCTTCAGAACATTTTTTGCATTCTTGACACTCCTGAGAAGTCCTTAGATCTTAATTTGGCATGAATTCGTTGAATTCAGCAAATAAATCCACTACTATATCATTTCTTTACTGAGCTGTAATAATTTGTGTTGTCAGTTGTCTCTCTAATTTGATAAAACGCTCACGGAAATTCAGAACTTAACCAAGCAGCAAAATGATGTTTGAAATTACCTCAACTCGAATGACAAACTGGCCAATCACGAGCGAGCGAATCTGTTGTTTATCTCATTCGCGGTCACTCAAAATTACGGCCGTCTACAGGCTGCCACGGAATCAAGGTAAAAAGACTTGAGATAACAAGTGTATCTAGGACGGTTATATTTTACACAAATGAAATATGAAATTTGATAAATAAAAAGGTTATACAACTTATCCGCTGACGTCACTGGTGGTAGGCTCGGAGAGTGTGTTGAATGAATGCACAACGAGAGAGCGAACCAACGAACGTACGGAAGAGTCACAACTCGAAAGATCATGGTGTGCCAAACGATGGTTGAGCGAGTTTAAACAAAAGTTCAAGGGTTCAATGTGCACTACAGATGCTTGACCTCAAGCCTTCAGCTAAGCAAGTCGACTTAGGCAGTGAGGGCCAGCATCCAATGTTCAGTGATGATTCCCGTGGTTAATAATTTTGGGGAATTATTTACCGCTACAATGTATTGTCGTGAACGTCATAAGGTTCCGAAATATTAATGACAGCCACGTTTCAAGGCGTAAAGCGGAGAGACCATAGACATCATTAGCTCATTGGGATCCATCCCTTTTTTCCATCACGACCAATACACGTTGATTTGGATGCCATTGCAAGAACCTGGGTAACTCGGACAGAGCTGAAATGGAAAACAAACAGAAAAGCCAACACACCACAAGCATACCCACAGCACAATCTCACACATCGCTGACGACCTGCGACTCCAGACAGAGACCTCCTCTTGACATCTTGCAACACAATCGCCACTTGCTAGAATGACTCTTGCAGAATGCAACGTGACCATAGCACCAACTCATGATACTCTACGCACATCCTCGTATCTACTCGCCACCAATTACCACTGCAATCGCTTGTCACTCATTCTGCCTCAGTTCTAGTAACGGTGACGTATGCGAGCCTCAGTCGTTTACACTCTTTCTCCCCGGCGTGTGGGACCGCAGCCAACAATTATCTCCGTGTGCATTTCATCCTCAGAAATAGCCTCCCCGGCGTATACGACCCATCTGCTGTCTCTAACATCAATCAATTCATTCATGGATGTAGAAGACTCGAAACAACTTCAGAAGTAATCACGACGAAAACTTTAACAAAATTATGCATTAACAACAAGGTACGAAAACAACGAGAGAACACAATGAATCCAAAACACCACCAATTGATATGACACACCACACGTATATACAAACAGTGCAAATAACCTCGCAAATCATGTCTTCATGGAATTCCTCTGAAGAATCGCAGGACTTACACCAGTATGCCTACAACCCTTCTCAGGTTGAAGATTATAAGTTGTGGAATGTCCAGACACAAACAAGATTAACCAACAATTACAATAATTGGAACTCACACAGTTATTTAACACCAACATATGTACAATCAACACATCAAATGTGGTGGATTCTGGCACGACAAACTACCCTTGAAGAACTGTAGGACTTACAGCAGTACGCCTACATTCCTTCTCAGGTTGATGATCCAAGTGGAAGTCGTCCGGACACAAACAAAATTACCAACGGCTAGATGACAGATGATACCAATTCAGTATATACCACATGAACATGTACAAAATCAGACACCAAGCACTTTGGGCTGCTCATTGGTGCGCTACCCTTTGAAGAACTGTAGGACTTACAGCAGTACGCCTACAACGCCTTACAACTCTTTAATAACAGAAGTAGACAATTTTGGTTCCTCCTCACAAATCATTAAAGGTTTTATATCTTCACTCTGAATAGTAATACCTTGTAAACTTCTGGAGTCAGAACTGCACTCTGAAGCAGCAACTCTATTCTGTGACACTCTATTCAACAATGGCTCACCAGTTGCAACTACAGACTTCTTCACAACACCGTTATCGTCACACAATTCGGAGTCAGGCCTGGAGTTTACATTTAGCTTATCACTGAACTTGCTCACTGGTTCACAGTTCACTTCTGTATGCACCTCTTGCAAACGTGTAAAACACAACCGTGTTTGTCTTGCATCTTGTAACCTATCTGTTGAGGATGTACTACGAAACCTGTTACACTCACTAGGTCTATATGCATTAATAGACACCATATAGCCTTCTCGATATCCACCTCTGCGAGACCCTTTCGTCATCAATGATTGCATTTTGCTCTCAGACTGCTCTATTCTAGGGGTGAGATGTAATAGACTGGCGAACTTGCTAATAGATTGATTGACACTATCGTTTACCAGTTTCAGGATATCATCAAACTTTGGCTCGATACCTTCATCCTCCATACGGGAGCTTAATTTCATCCACTTCCTTTGCAGTCGAGTAGGTAAGCATCTCGCTATTACTTCTAGGACTGAGCTTGAGTTCAATTCACTCATGCAATTCATCGAAATGAACGTATTTTTATAAGTCATCAGATTATCCAAAAACTCAGTGAGTGCCTGGGAGTCATCTTGTAATTGACTACCATTACCTTTGACAGCCTCGAATACGTTCCTTACAGTCATTGAAGGTCATCCAAACCTTTGACGCAGTATGTTCATAGCTTCAGAGTATCCTTCGTTAAGGGGCATCAACTTACAGCACTGTATAGCTCTTGAAGCAACTCCAGTTCAGTACCTCATCAAATACATTAACTTCACTTCATCTTTTAATAAAAAACCACTCAACATGATCTCAAACTCCTTTACAAACTGTAAATAATCAGCTGGGTTTCCGTCGAAACACCGTGGTTCAAAATTAGGGAGTTTGATATTCCTATTATCCCTAGGCGGCTAAACAGTAACATCAACCATGTCATGCTTAACATCAGACACATCGTCACAAGTACCTGACAAGTCAACATGACTTACTTTCCTGTTTGCTTCCAAGACGCTTTGCCCCTTCTTTAACCCAGGCATCATTGAACGTAACCAAAATTCCAGAAAGTTCCAGATATTGCTTGTTCAAATAAGACTTGGCCGGCACCAGGAAAGACGGACAGAGACTATCCAAACGTCAGAAACTGTCAATCATGTCTCAAAAACCGTTAATGCCCAGCTCTTGCTAAGCCGGGCCTCTCGATGTCCTTCGACCCTTTCAGAAACGCTTAGTACTAACGGACGCGAAAATCAGAACACCGATTGGCGACTCGAGAATTCCTTATTCTAACACCAACGTATAAGCAGCATAATAAACTAAGTTTTCTGACGGTTTTTCTACGTTCTTTTTGAACAGCGACCGATGAGACGATGACTGGTGTATTGATACCTCCGCGAAAATATAGGGAACTTGGGTTTGAGCAAACAACCATGAACTGATGGTTCAATCTTCAACTACATTGACAATATTCGTTTCTCATGTACCAAGGGCAAAATTAAGTCTTTCCTCCCCAGACCTGGGTTACCACATCAACTCAGACACAAATGTTCCGCTTCAACTTTTTCTGATTTCAGCTAGGAGGGATATAAGAGGTCACTACTGAAAATGAAATGTCTGAAGTCCAAGCGGACCACTGAGATTTTTCGGTCTTCCACATATTCGCAACCTAGGATTATCCTACCAGTGTGATGCAAAACTGGAATGTGATCAACTTTGGACACCTTTTAGGTCAGGATGCACAGCCAAGAATTATAATCAAGACAGAGAATGGCTGGTTAAAATTACTTATTCTGTTTTTGATACAGCCTACTAAGATTAAAGGAATGGTTTGACCAGTAGCTTTGGACTAATTTGTGCATCAGACTTGGGTCATATACCCTGTCAGTAACGCAGTGAAGAATTATTGCTGTTGCCAGAAGACAACTCTCCAGAACCCAGAATGCTACATATGTATCGAATGATGAACTCAACTCCAAAGTGATGGATACTAAAAGACAAACATGCAAGTTGAAGATTTATTGATTAACCAATAATAATCCAATATGAGGAGATGAAGGGTACCGCAGTTTGATCTGGTTTACAAGTGGCTGCCATAGACACACTAAAAAGTTCATAAATAGATGTCAAGATATAATAAATCAGTACTTCTGACCTTATCACTATGATCTTCTGTCATTCAGTCAATGTCAAAGCTAAGTCATAGACTTCTGGGACCAACGAAATCAGTCCAAATGTCACTGGATAAGCATTTAGTGTTCACCAACAATGATGCACCCTATCCGTCAAATTGTGTTAACCTTAGAAGGGTGGTTACGCACCATTTTCTAAATTCTTCTGAAGAAACAAAGAATGTCCAAATACACCTTCATGTCCTTGTGACAGAGAGGGCTTTATGTATGAAAACAAGTATTGGTAGGTCATAGACAGTCAGAATTATCTCCAGAAGTAATTGAATAGTGAATATAATATGACATGGAGTGTATACAATGCATTTGGATAGATAGTAAATTGAGGCAACCCAATGATTTAAGCAGCAAGCTGCAATTCTCATGGTCATCTTAATTTCGACCATCCGAATTACTCACACACTGTTTTATATTATTGTAATATAGATACTTTAACATGAATTAGGATATAAGTAATAGACTGAAATTAGATTTTTTTTACAAATCTCAGTTAGCTTTCTCAGAAGTGACATCTGCAGTGTAAACATTAATTTCTTTCTGTTTTTAAAAGTTGATACCTTAAATAAGGAAAAAGTAACACATGTTCATTGCTGTCTCTAAATTAATTATACACAGTCAGTAGACATAATTCCAAAGAATCAAAGTCCTTCAGATAAATTAATCGGATGACTGACAAGTGTAAATTGCATCTAAAAAAATCCGAAGTGATAATTCAATTGGTTAGTTGAACCACACGTTGAGTTACGCGTAAAACCTGTAACGCAGGCTTTGTCTAAAGTATGGTGTTATATTGTACATAAAATAATGGAGTATAATGCACAGACCCAAAATTGCGAATTATCTATGTCTAAATGCTGTCAAATGCACAATCACTGCGAGTCAATAAGAAAAAACCAGCAAAGCTTTGTCCACAGCGATCCATGGTCAGATTAAACAGTGCTCGAATGCCAGACAAAGGTTGAAGGGATTTGAATAAATAGTGTTCAAAATGGAGAGATTTATAAACAAAGCATATGCAGCGGATACCCTCTAAACATAAGAAGATGATTACAATTTATCAAAAAGAATATTAATGCATTGAGCGAAATAAACATCAATACCGAACAACAGTTATGCTAATAGGGTGAAAAAGTATAAATTCATACTACTTACTAGTGATAAGTATTATGAAGTTGAAAATGAAAGAAAAAAAGAATGGATAAGTAAGAAAAGGATTAACAACTGGTTTATTTTTAGGCTAATTTGCATTTCCCGTTGTTCGAGTACGTTCAGCAGAAATTCTCAGTCTTTGTTGTCATGTCAGCTTCTAGTACAGATGCATAATAGTTTGGCACTTCAAATAATGATAGCAGGCTTTGAGTTTCACTTTGAATGCAGGTACATCCAGACGAAAAGCCCCAAATAGGACGAAATGTGCCTGTTGGATTCCACTACTAGTCAACATCATCCGAAATAAGGCTAACTAGAGTTTACTCTTATTTTCAATGAAGTGGTTGAAAAACACTTCAGATTTAACTCTCCAATCTATAAACAAAGTTGCCAGATTATTATTTACCATTATATTTCTAAAAGTTAGTTCATAAGGATGTGATTTGTTTCAAGTATGACCACGGATTGAACCTTGGTGAGCCCATGCTGTCATCGTATTCTTGCTTACTATATTTGTTTAACCGATATCATCTTTAAAATAGCATCATTTCCCTCTTACCTGCTTTAGAATGTCGCCAATTACTGTCTGATTACTAAATAAATGTCAGATAACTCAGTTAATGTAAGCATTTTTTTATTCTGTCATAATGAAGTAGTGGATCGTGACAGCCAATTTACGCATCCATTAAAATAGTTTTCACTTTTCTTAGAATGTTCATAGAATCGCCATAAAAGCAGCCAACTATTTGAATCAGTTAAATAATTTCATGTCTTTATTGCCACTGGTTTTAATTATGAAACTGCTATAGACAAAACGTCAGATTTATTGATCAATCTTTGCTTTCACAAATAATGTGAATATATATATATATACTACCTTCATTGCTAAAAACATCGTAATCTACAAATTTCCAAGACTTAAGATGCACGAACGAACGTGACACGATGGCTTGTCAAATGGCGTGGATGCTTGGCCATGAAGCTTTAGCTTAACGAGTAGACTTAATATGTTAGGGTCATCATCCTGTGATGAGTGACGAATGCTGTAGGTTAGTAATTTTGGAGTATTATTTACGTCTCCATGCTAGACTACAGAGAAATTTCTCTTCTGTTTACAGAAATGCATTTTAAAAGAATACAGTCAGTGTGGGGAATGTGAGTGACTGAGGTCTCAAAGAGTACAAGAATTTTACTTCATGGCAGGTAAGTTTTGTCCAGTAGAAACTGTCCAGAAAAATCAAACTCATCATTTTAAATGTAACGTGATTTTACTGGAGAAGTGATGTTATCTATTTCGCAGGTTTGTCCTATGTAAGTGATATTATTTGTGTTTGCACTATCTTGGTTCACATAAATATATATATATATATATATATATATATATATATATATATATATATATATATATATATATATATATATATATATATATATATATATATATATATATATATAATTTTAGAGCCGGAAGAGGAATTTATCGAAAAGAATATTCTTTGCTCGATTATTGTGTGTTTTATAAATTAATTTAGTGATCATAGGTCTTAATCAAGCCCTCCTAAACTTGTTCTATGAATCACAAGAGACATCCTATCATAGTTCTTCTCCAGCATAAAGCATTCCAAAGTTTTGCTGCTTTCTTTGGAGTGTATTCTTCATTGTTCGCACACTGAAAATCTGTGTAGTTTTACGCGTTCTTGTTCAGCAACCAGTCGTTTCTTTTTCTACAAAGGATTTGGGTATGTATGCTGAAATGGTCATTATCGTCATTAATTAATATGAAGAGTCAGTTTTTGAATATTCCTTAGTTAATTTCCGCTAAAATATCACGGATTAGAGAATTTCCTAATACATCTCGAAGTAGTACGGATAATGTATCCGACATTTCTCCAAGAATACTCATTACCGGTCCAGAATATGCCCTTCTTCTGTTGCATATTCCAGGGATATCATCAGTAGTATTAGACAGCCTTGTCTTACTCCTACCTTCACCTGAAAGGATATACTGAGCTTTCCATTATGAACCGTAAAAGTTCTTTAATTAAGAAATTAAGAAAATCAGTTCAAAGAACTTTTACGTACTATTCTCTACACGACCGATGGTGATTCCTTGACTGAAAGATGAAGT